AAAGACACAAACACTTTTTTCAGTCCTTCTCAATAAGAGCATTCTGACTCTACTGGCAAAAACGTCTCTGCACCTTGTAGGAAACACCACTTTTGTTTAGTTTTTTTTTTTGGCAAACATTAAAAAAAGAAGCTCCAGCAATTACGAGCTCTGTAAATGTTAGCGTGGCGACCGCAACTAACTAGTTGTGGATCCGCAGCAGGTGAACAGCTCTGAATGTCGAACGTCTCACCGTGAAAAGAAGCAGAGCAGCACAGCCCGGTTTTAATCAGGATGCTGCCATACATCAAATGATCTCAGTGGCCTGCAGATAAGGCAGGTTAATATAAAGCTACTGTAGCCGAGTCAGGCACTTTATGCTCATCATCACACAGTCAGACATCTGCACCTTATACAACATGTCAGACGGTTCTGGATAGGTGTGTAGCCAGCGAAGTCCCCTGRGGTGATGGATGCCTGTGGGAGGCTGTTATGCCACAAGGTGAAAATGTCCATTAATCAGCCCTACTTCCTCCACTGCCTTGGCTTTCCCATTACCAGCACACTCCAAGCAGCCTGATTGGTTTTTAATTGGCCTGCCCGCCAGGAGATAGATCATGCTTTCCCTGAGGAAAAGCATGAAAATGTGTGTTTGTGTGTGTATGGTGGAAGGCACCCTTTTTTTCCTCTCTGGAGGAATAACCACATTTTGGTGTTCTTTATTCTGGACAATCAACATGTCACGTACAATATCATTCAGCTTTCCAGATTATCATAGCCATACAGCATTCATTTTTAGTGAAATTGAGCTCTGACACGACAGACACTGAATCTGAGTGACGGTCCAACCGTGTCACTTCTCACCTGAGTTTGAAGCGTTGGAAAACTAGATGGAAATTCCTGAAACCCTCATCCTTTGGAATATTTATGTAAAAATATTCAAACCTTGACAAAAGCATTCCCCTTTTTTAATTGATGTAACTATGAATATTTAAATGAGTTTAATGCGGAAATATGTTTTAGCTATTTCTGCGAGGTCGTGTACAAGAGAAGAATYACATTATTGTGAAGTTGACACAGAGGGCAGAAACAGCTGCAATTTCCATAATAATGATTTTTAATTTATTTAAAGTTAATAGAATGTATGTTTGTGTGTACTTTTACCTTGGATCTCATTAGGTATTCTCTCCAATCCGCATCATGCCTTGAATTTGGATTTGACTGATGGAAATACCGTAATTAATAACGTGCAGCAGCAGGCGCTGCAGGAATGTATGTGTGAAGGACGCGGGAGCAGCTACATCTTACGCTGAGTAGATGTCAGTATTGACGAAGTGTCTGCTCAAATAGATCATTCTCCTCTGCACCCTAGCGTGACCGTGTCACTGAGACTGATTGGAAGACCACGTTGATTCCCCTTCGGTATCCCCACGCACAAATTCACAAAGTTTTCACGGCGCGACCCAAAGGCTGATCCTTCTGACACAAGCTAGCATCGGGAAGACAAACTGCACGCTAACAGAAGCTGTTTAAAGCCTTTGTTAGCTCTCACAGAGAAACAGGGTCATTTGGTGGGGAGATGAAAGTAGAACAATCTGGGGAAACATTCAGTACAACAGCAGCAGCCTTTGGGACTTATTCTGAGACATTGGGTAGGTTTTTTCATGTGTGTGAGTACAAATGAGGAAATATTACTAGATTAATTATATGTACGTTTGACACAAATAATTAAGTTTCAAATTTTTAAAGGCATTAATATAAAAAACACATGCATTCATCAGTTGTGTCAGCTTTTTTGACATTTATCAAATCTGAAATGTTTCCCATTCAGTTGTTAGGTTTTTGTATTTAATGGTATATTTCTTATATAATAATTGAAAGCTCTGTATGTACAACAAATGCACAGTTGTATAAATTCAAATGAATTTCCATTTGTCAAAATAATTAAGGTTAATTAGTTTTTTAAACTTTCTGTATTTTTTTCTGAAACAATATGTTAGCACAAAAAACAAGCAGCACATTTATACAAAATCTTGCTTTAAGGTTTTAAAATTGTCATAGTTTGTAAATATGGTCATCATGCTGCACTCRGTTTTGTTCAGAAGTCAGAACTTAGACTGACATTAATGTGCTCCAGCTCAAGTCTTGTGAACTTGTGAACATTGCGTTCAGTGGCCAGATTATAGCAATACAAGCAAATGGCATTTTTAAAAATTTAAGATATTTTTTCAACATATTTACCAATAGAGTTTGAGGTCTAATATACAATCCGACAAAAATGAAAGTATACAGTTTTTTATTGCATACATTGCTACTTTTTTCTGAGTGAGAAAGCCTTGTTGAATTTTAGGTCAGGGTCAGTGAGAAACCATTGATTTCATGAACTGAATTTCCAATGTTGTTTCCAWTGAAGTTTCCAACTTGGAACTTGGAAAATTCTGATTTCTGAGTAAAAATATGGAATGCACTTTAAGTCAATAATCACAGAGGCTAACCATTATARTACAGTTACTCTGTATTGTTTTGTTTTTTCTTAAGAAAACATGGGCTTTGGGGGGTAGCATTTCCATTCTCTGAGCCAAAGTGACCAAAACATCCTGCCTAACATGAATGCAACATCATGTTTCATGCCACTAAACTGCTCAGTCACGCTAAACAAGCAGGTATTCATCCTTTAAACATGGAGGCTAATATTAGCACACGATTTCCCCTAACCCCCCTGACCCACCCGTGAGAGTTGCACGGAGGGGATCCCCAGGAGGCTTTTTACTGCCCATTCATGAGGCTGCAGAAGAATAGGGGCCATAAAGCATCTCCCACACTACGCTGAAAAGAAGGTCAGGTCTTGTTCATTAATTTAAATTTACTACAAAAGCATGCTACTTGTGATTTTCTGTCACATTCTTATAACGTCTTCACATTAAAAAAAGGATTAAAAATTAAATTAGAAGAGTCGTACAACTGCTAGGCTGAACATATATTCAGCAGTCCCAGTCTCTAGGTCTCCTCTCAGCTCAGACTAGACTGTTGTGATTTAGAAGGGCTGGGTCCTCTTGCTCTCCATTCCACAAGCGAGATGACGGGATGAACAGAGGCAGGAAAGAAGGGGGTCCCTGCAACGCTGGACTCGGTAAGACCCAGGTAGCGTGCTCTCCCTCTATAATTTAATCACATTCAGCTGTCTGCCTGTCCTCGACTCGCTCAGCAAAGCACATCAAGCGCCGCGGTGGCACAAACACTCAGCGCAGCATCACAAGCATCCCTGTAACAAGCGAGGCATCTCCTTCTTCTTGCAGCTTAAGGAACATCCCAGAGAACATGGCTTCACCTCACGCCAAGCAGCTCGTCTCAATCTCATCAGCACAGATGCAGATGCAAGGAACAGAGCTAAAAGCAGGAAAAACATCTTAAAGCTTAACAAAACTGGAAAAAAATGTGTTTTCACCAGCAGCAACGAATAGAAGCTACAATGAGAATTAGGACCAGAAACTTCACTTGTGCTGGGGTAATTTGTGTGCGAAAAGAAAATAATAAATTCCTCACACGTGTCCCTTGACTTGTTCAAACCTTGTTTTCGTCACGTGTTGACATGRAAAAAAAAACATTCAGTCTGAGACACTTTGGGCTCACTTTGTGTCAGAACTTTGACAGAATGAAGCATGTTGCAATGCATCTGTGCCCTGTTGTGTGTAAACGACGGTAAATGCCACCCATGGGAGCACACACAGTAACAACAACAGGATTGTGTTTTCCAGCATGCAAAAAGAGGAAACTAAATACAAACCATATAAACAGTTGTGCACATGGGAGTTTACTAGAATTGGAAGTCAGAAACTCCCCCAAAACCTTTAAATTCTCACTTTTCTTTGCTATAATGTTTGTTTCCACGCCTTCTAATTGTTTTCCTGCAGATCATCTCCCACACCTCGGAGTGCATGAGAACGTCGCACCAAGACAGACTGAATTTAGCAATAAGAAAATCACTTTGAGAACAAAAGAAAATTTAAAATAAAAACTAATTAGAACCAATTTAGGACTTGGGTGCATTTATGAGCTTAAATTAGATCTTTTTAACAGAGTTATAACAGGATAAGGAAAGCTCAAATGAAGTTTGGAGTGCACTGCAGGACAAAACTTCTAGAACACTTTCAGATTACTAAAAAAATAACAGAAGCCCATGCAAGAAGTATCTAATATGTTTATAACCTGACAGCATTCAATAACAGAAAACATTACTTGTGTTAGAGAATATAAATTACACGTAAAGTAGAATAAAAAAGTAGCCTTACCAGAAAATCCTGACTGGATCAATGATAAATGAACCACATCAACTTAGCCTAATGTTATTTTTCTTAAAGTAAGYCAAACAAAAACCAAAAGCAACTATTAGGAGTAGAGATGCTCAAGACGTCGGAGTCAAACCTCAGCAGCAGCAATGCAAAGACAAAAGATGCCATAAACGAGCACAGGGTACCTACCAACTGCAGTCGTGTCTGGAAACTTTTCCTCCTGCACCACAATGCACCTCCTCTCCTATTTCCCCTTGTTTAACTCCCAATTCCCTGTCTGTGCTCACTGCAAAGTTCTGCTCTCCTCCTGCATGCAAATCATTTTTCACGACTTGAGAGATGACGGTAGGAAGGAGGGAGAGCGTAGAGAGGCAGAGAGAATGACAGAGGGGCGGAGGAGTGGAGATAATGGTTGGGAGGCAGACGACCAATGGGCCTGGAGCCTAATGGAAAAAATTGAGAGAGGGTGGGAGGGTGAGTGTGTGTGTGTGTGGGGGGGGGGTGATCAGGACACACCAATGAGGCGCAGCCTGGAGAGGGAGCGCAGTCCGGAGGAGACGGCGTTAACGCAGACTGAGAGGGAAAGAGGGAGCTCGCAGTGATGGAGGGAGGGAGTGAGAGGATGAGCACGGTAGGTGGAGAATCCCAGGCGGGATGGAGAGGCTGCAGATCAGAGAGAACAAAAAGAGAAAGAAAGACGAGCTCAGAGACAGAGAGGGGAAGCTGACTTACCCAGGTACAGCCAGTGGCATCCTTCACGCGCCGCCTCTCAGACTCCTCACACACACACACACACACACACACACACACACACACCACCCCGGTGATGATGGAGGCGCGCGCCGTGCTGCCGCTCAGACCAACCAATAGCAAAAACAACAAAGGAGAAGACTGCCAGAGCCGACTGGTATACCCTACAGCAACTGTGTGTGTGTGTATGTGTGTGTGTCAGGCAGGGAAACTGGGAGTATGCATATGCTTATATTTGTGCTGGGAGGGAGGGACAGCTGAAAGAAGCTGAAAAGCTTATTTCTCAGTCCTACAAGCTGAACTGCTTCCCTCCACTGTATCTGACGTGGATCTGGCTCTCTCTGTACACTCGGCATGGATGTATCCTCCAACACTCTCCCGCCCCTGCGCTCCCTCTGCCTGCTAATGTGCCCTCCCTTCCCCTTCTCCCTCTTATACATTTATTCAGGGCTGCAGACTGTCTGCTCTCAGAGTCAGATCTTCCCACGGGGAAGAGATGAGGGGAGGGGGTGGGGC